AACCCCGGTAAGATCCCACCCCCCGGTTGAAGTTACCCGGCGTGCTGTGCGTTTTGTCCAGAGAGGAAGGGGAGGGAAAGTGGGGATGTGAGGAACATTTTTTCCCCCTCTGCTAATTCTGGTGGTTTTCAAAGAATTTCCCAGAGCCTCCCCCTGGCTGGGAAGGGCCTGGAGAAAGAGATTCCAGTGAGACCTGGACATGCTCCAGGGAGGGCCCTGGGAGGAGGGTGCAGGGTAGATGGACGTGGGGTCAGTGGGAAGGTCTGTTTGTCCAGCCCCAGGAATTTCCCTGTAACTCAGCAGGAAAAGGAGAATTTCTGTAGATGCCGAGCGCAGGATATCTGTATTCTCAGTTCCCCCCAGGCTGCGAGTGGGCACTGCCCCAGCGGTGCCTGTCGCACTGAACGAGTCTGTGACGTTCACCTGCTACGCGGAGGGGTTTTACCCCAAGGACGCGAGTCTCACCTGGCTGGAGAACGGACATGAGACGAATCTGGGAAAACCCTCCCCCATGGCTGAGAATCCAGACGGGACGTACACGCTCCAGAGCTCCCTGGAGGTCAAAGCAACTGAGCAGAGGAATCAGTCTGTGTTCACCTGTCGGGTTGTGCACGATTCCCAGCTCCCCGTCAATGCCAACGCGACGCTGAGACTCTCCCAGGTTCCTGCTGAGCCAGGTAAAGATCCCACTTCACCTACTGCAGGTAAATGTGCAGTCGAACCCGCCCCCCCTGCACTGCTGGGAAATGCCAGGTCTGTTCTGCGGAACCCAGGGGCCATTTCAGCCCATCTCCGCCAGGGGAGCCCCTCAGTGTAACAGCCACTCTTTTATTCCAGGATTATCGCTCAGCTCTGCTCTCCGTGGGCGGAGTGGGAGGGGGCAGGTTGGGGGCAGGAAATGTCACTTCGGCTGCACTCTGTGCCCAGGGAAGATGCTCTGTGCAGCCCTGCAGGGTGTGACTGTCCCTTGGAGAGGGGCTCGAACATGGTCACTCCTGAGTCCTTATTCTCCTGTTCTGCAAAGTTCGAGGTCTCCCCTGTAGCGTCTGGGCTGCCCTGGGGCCAGGCAGCAGCGTGTGGATACAGCTGCCAGGCAGAGCTGGGCAAACTCTGCAGGGGCCATTTGCCAACCTGCTGTTCACAGACAGGAACTCGCCAAGCCCCATGGAAGGCCAGTTTCCTCAGAGCCCGGTAAAGGGGCATGTGAGCCAGGCAGTTCTCTTGTCTGCGGGTGAGAGGGGGGGAATGGCAGGGAGGAGGGGGTTCCTGTCCATTGGCTGATCTGATACATTTACACAGCAGGTCAGAGTCTGTTCTCCAGCCCCGCTCTCTGGATCGGGCTCGTCCTGGAGAAGGTGCTGACAGCCGCCTTCCTCTTCTTCCTCTTCCTGAGAAGCAAAGCGTAACCAGGTAAATGTAGATTTGCTGTGAGTTCCCCTGGGAGCCAGAGGGAATGGATTGTAATGGTGCAGCCCAGGAGCAGAGCAGGAAGTGTTAAAGTCTCATAGGGAGTCAGTGTTGTGGGGTTGGGTGTGTCTGGGGCTGCTCATGGAATACAGACTCTCCCAGTCCAATGCCAGCCCAGATCACTAGTGACTGGGTTCTGCTGGGGCAGGTTCCCCCGGGGACACAGTCCAGGGCCCCTGGTGAGCTCTGGAATCTTTGCCCCAGGGGATTCACCCCCCGGAACAAGAGTCCCACTCCAGCCCGAGGGCCAGGCATTCCCGGGTCCCTGACCCTCTCCTGCGCCGGGCCTGTACGAGGGTCCCAGCGACCCATTCGTGGCTTTGGACCGGATTCCTTAGTTCCAGAGCCCAGTGACTGCTGTTACCCAGCCTCCCCTGGCATTGCTGCCCAGGTCCCCGTGTCTGTGCCCCACAGAGACAAACCCCCAGCTCGTTCCATCCTGCTCAGCCTGGTCCTCAGCCCAGAGCTGGTGGCACCGTCCCTCGGGGAACACAACAGTTCTAGCTTGAATCCAGTCCAGCATCGCCCTCCTCTGGGCTTCCTGATACTCATACCCCAGCCCTGATCCCTGACCTGGAGGGTCCCTTCCCTTTCTAGGGTCACTGGAAATCCAGGAGAGTCAGAGCCCCCAGTAAATCTCCCCTCGGTTAAACGGACAGCGTGAGATGACTGCTCCCCGACACCCCAGCTCAGGGCGTGGTGGGGGCTGACGTGGAGCGTACTAGAGCAGTTTGCCCCTGGGGGGCTCCTCCCTGGGCTGGGTTAATGCTAAGGGACAGGTCATTGACTGACTCTCCTCATTCACCTGTTGGATTCTTTCCTTTTGCAGCCCCTGGTCTATTTCCCTGTTTTCTCGCACTGTCGCCACCTGCCAACTTCTCTGTCTGCAGCCTCTGTCCCCCAGAGCAGGAAACCAGTCCCTAGATGGTGGAGCTGCAGTGACCCCTGCTGGCCAATCAGATGGAGCCCAGGCTTGACAGAGCGAAGGTGAAGGGGTGACCTGGTTACAATCTATAAGTACCTACGTGACATGGGGAACGAACATTTCATAATGGGCTCGTCAGTCTGGCAGATAAAAGTCTGACACACGATCCAATGGCTGGAAGTTGAAATCAGACAAATTCTGACTGGAAATGAGGCCTAAATTTTTAATGGTGAGAGTAATTAACCATTGGAACAATTTACCAAGAGTTGTGGTGGATTCTCCATCACTGACAATTATAAAATCAAGACTGGATGTTTCTCTAAAGGATCTGCTCTAGGGATTATCCAGGGGAGGTTCTCTGGCTTGTGCTTTAGAGCAGGTCAGACTAGAGGAGCACAACGGTCCCTTCTGGCCTGGGAATTTAGGAATCTCTGATGGGACGTACCCACCACTCACTCCTGCCTGCTGATGAAAGAGCCACATGAAGGACTCCTGACCGGGCTCCCTGCCCCCTTCAGCCCATCCTTCTGCACTGTCTGCACTGATCTTTGCTTCAGGGAGCAGATATGTGGAATACGGGGGTGTAACGCCATTCGTTCATGTGCAGTGTGTCCGTGACACCCGGTGGCCCCGGAGCAGCCCCCTGAATCCAGCAGGTTTGGCCTGAGGTTGGACTCTTGCTCCCTGGGCTGGCAGGAGCTGGGTCATTTTGCAGATGTGACCGTGTGACCTGATTGGAGAGAAATAGACCCCTGCTGTTACTGCTGGGTCTGGCCAATCACCAGAGTGGCCTGGAGAGGGTCCCTGAGGGCCGTGGGCGGGGCTGGATCCCATAGGTGCCCATGCTGGTCTGTGCGCTGGGACACCGGGGAGGTGGGACACAGACCATGTGCAGTGCTGGGTTGTGTCTTTTCTGCTACTCTGGACTCTGGCTGAAGCCTCCGGCCTCTGCCCAGCTCTGAAGAGGCAGGAGATGGTTGTGTAATAATTTCTGTTTGACAATAAACCGCCCTGGCAATGCTTGATCTCACCCCAGACGTGCAGAGTTCTTTGGCTGATCTGCCCCTGAGCCGGCCGGCCCGTCCCACGGCAAGGAAAACATCCAGCGTCTCTTTGTGGCTCTGTTGGGGCAGCAGGGAGAGGGAGCGGAGACCTTCAGGGAGCATTTCCTGCCTTCCTAGCGCATGAGTTGGGCTGGGTTGAAGTCCCACATCTTGGAAGATGCTGGGATCAGAAGGCCCCTGTCAAGCTGTCCTACAGCGGCTCAAGAGCCTGGTACGAAGCTCAGGGCAGAGGGTGAGGAAGCCGGATTGGCACAAAGCCCAGATTGGCTGTGAGTTCTGTACTTAGATTTCACCTGCAAACGCCTCAGGCTCCATAACAGCCTTACTATGGAGTAAGAGACAGTCCCCTTGGGCACTCCCATCTGTCTCACCACCCAGGGACATTCGCTTTTCTTTCCCATAGATGGTCCCTTGCACCAAAGATCCCAGCAATATTCCGGTTACTCCCAGTCCCAAAGGACCAGTCACTTACCCCGGGTCAATTGCACTTTAGATCTCACCCCAAAGACAATACTTGTAGCCAGTCCTATAATGAACTATCTGAATATTTATTAGATAGGAAAAGGAAACAAGAGAGTCTTTACAAGGTTAAAGCAGATAAACACATCTACACACAAATGAATTCCAACCTTAAGTTTCAAGAACTAATAGAAGCCTTTATGTATAAACAAACTGTACATGTCCTTTAGGGCTAACCGAGGCTAAACACTGGGGATTTCTTGTGTATGCCTGAAAAACCTTGTCCTTGAGGATCTAAGCAGATCTAGAGACAGAGTTCCTCCTTGTTAGGGTGTTTTATTCCTTCCTTTCTTCTGCTTCAAACTGCAAACTCAGCTGCTGGGAGGAATTCACTTGTGTGTCTCTCCTTCATGGGTTGCAGCAATCAACAGAGTCTTTTGCCATCTGATGGTTAAAATATATGGAGATAGTTTTATCTCATAGAACTGGAAGGGACCCTGAAATGTCATTGAGTCCCGCCCACTGCCTTTACTAGCAGGACCGAGTACTGATTTTTGCCCCAGCTCCATAAATGGCCCCCTCAAGGATTGAGCTCGCAACCCTAGGTTGAGCAGGCCAATGCTCAAACCACTGAGCTATCCCTCCCTCATAGTATTGTGTCTGGTGTCGATGGGCATGCTTTGTCAGGCAGGACATAACCGCTGCTTTCGGAGACTAGCGTTTCACACTGGTTCATGCTTCTCTCCTGTCCGCTGATGTGCACAGCTACAGACGCTTCCAGTGCGAATGCTCC